CTGTGCCAGCCGGGCGCAGCAAAATGTGTTTCCAAAACATAACAGAGACAAGGCATTCACCCCGCAAGCTTCAGAGATCCGCTAAGACAAAAAGAAAGCTCACATGACCAAGACTCTCAAAGTTTGTTTCGGCTCAAAAGAACAACAATAGTGAAACAAGCTTAAACGACAATGTGGTACTGTTCTCTTTTATCCCTTCGACCCGCCAAGCAGAGCAGGCACACATTTTGGGGGCGGACGTGCGCAAGCATAAATCTCATCTGTGCTCGCTCCTCCAGGCTTGCTGCATTCCAGTTCGGCCCCACTATAAAGATGGAAGAGACACCACCGTCATCTACAAGCTTCTGGGATGGTCTCTCCAAACAGCAGTCCGCTCCTTCAGACAACGTTTTGATGAAAATGACTGACACACACACACATCAGCAAGCATACTGAGGCAAGACTGTTGCGTCACCAACCTGGTGCAGCATTACTTGAACGATGAGGCTGCGGGTTATTAAAATAGAACGATAACAAACCACCCCTGAAACATATTGCCAGGAAATGATATTGCGGGTGTGCGAACGCTGCGTGCCCAGATGATATGCTCAGCGCCGGGCTGAGTACTCATTCCTGAGGCAGTCAGCACACTCCAAGGCATTACCTCGCGGACTTTTTTGATGAATTCACTTGCTCGTGAGGAAGAAAACAATGCGCTCAACGCAACATATTTATACATACATACATACACACACACACACGCGTACGTACATACATACATACATACATACATACATACATACATACATACATACATACATACATACATACATACATACATACATACATACATATACATATACATACATGCACACATATGTATATATATATATACTTATATTTATGTTTATCTATCTATCTATATATATATATATATTTTTAAAACATGAGTATCAGAACTCTTTACACGCTTCATGTATATGTTTATATATATATATACAGACATATACAGAACTCTTGCGTCTGCCCACATCCTTTCATTTGCAAACACAGATGGCTTAAGCAAGATTGCAGCCCCGAAAGTTTACAGAACCCACTCACAAAGAAGACAGCAGAAGAACAACAGACCATCAGTCAGAGGCTTGTGCAACTCCCTTATAGACCCTCAGCCCGAAGTTGAAGTAGTTTAAGGCTTAAGGGTTCCTTCCTGAAGTTCGGGAGGCCCCTCTCTGTCCTTGCCAAAGAAGGGACTGAAGAGCGCAGCCCCCTTCCCACCCCAAACCCTCCAAGCCCAAAGGCCCCTAACCATCCCCTTGACGTCACGTTCCCACGCCCGCAGACACCGGCAGCTGCGGGCAGCAAGCTTGAAGATGTTGAAATGGGGTCCCACAAGCATTGCCTGAGGATTTCAAGCAGCTGGAGCTGATGATGCTAGTCGGCTTAGGCAAGGATGCATAGGCCATGCAAGAAGAACTTGTGTGCCGGGATGCCTTTCTTGGATGCATAGGTTTAGGTTTAACTCAGTTTGACTTCGGCTTGGGGCTTGAACTCACATGGACTTCCCTACCACGTGGATACGAGAGTCATTCCGCTTCTTGTGCCAGGGCTCCTTCACTTCGATCCTCCGTGTCCGTTTCCCTTCCCGTTGCCATTCCTCTTTCCTTTCCTTTCGATTCGGACCGCTTGCTCACCGCAGTATGGAGTTTCGGTCAGTAGTCTACACGACTCGGACATGCTCCACTGAACTACATGCGCTTCCCGCAAAGTTTGGCTCAAGCGCGTGCGCGGCACAATTCGGATATTTCGCAAGGCCAGGGACGTTCAGCCAAGTTGCGCATGTCGACCTCATGTGCACATCATCCATGCCTTGCCCTGTCAGGTGAACTACTCTGCGTGATGATCTCTCGGACACGCAGTCTTGAGAATTTGTTGGTGTGGGGCAGTGCGCCCGCGCGCGCAGTCGCAGCAACAATCCCGAAGTCGAGTCACCCGATCTTTGTTTCTACGCTTCACAGGAGCTCGCTGCGGTTGGAGCCGGCAAAGTCAGCCTCCAGGTTCGGCGGGGGGCGCAACACTATGCGATCATAAATCATGCGCCTTGGCCACGCTCGTGTCTTAGGAGCTTCATGAAGTCTATATGGCTTCATAAGGTATCGCTTTTGGAAGGCTTAAAGGCTTCGAGGATCTTAACAGGCTTGATGATATGGCTTAGTCTTGAAGACAATCTTGTCGTGTCGCGTGGAGCTCTGCTCCTGCAATCCTGAAATTGTCAAACTCGTGAGATCGTGAAGCATAGGCTCCCTAAGGCTGGCGCATCATGGACCCGCCCTAAACTGTATACACATCCTCTGAGAATCAGCCGTCAGGAACTCGTTGGTCGATGTCGCGTGAGCAGTCCATCATACTCTTGGAAAGGCATCCTTGGGAGTGTTCTGTGACAGTCTTGCCATCATGCACAGCCATGGTTTCAGGAGAATGTCGTCTAGAATGCAGGTTGCCAACCCCGCTCCGTTAGGCTTCACATGTAAGAAGACGCTTTGTTTCGGGCTCCTCACAGGCAAGCGCCGAGAGGCCGATCAAGGAGACTGTGTGGAAGTGGATGGCAGCGTCGTCTGAGAGTCATTGAGAATCTTTCGCATGTGCCTAGCCTAACTTATCCGAATTACATCTAGCTACTACTGTATGGAGGTGGCCAGAAGAAGAAGCAGAAGAAACAGAAGAAGAAGAAGAAGCCGAAGAAGAAGAAGAAGAAGAGAAGCTTCACACCTCAGGCCATTTTGGAGATAATTGAAGCCTGAACTCCTCCTGTACATCCTGCTTGAAAGGTTGGTGGAGACCTTTTGCAATGGGCGGACAGCCTTTGAGGCGGTTCGCCCTGTGCCTCCGACTTAAAATTCAATGTTGTGCGTCAGCTGTAGAATACATGTTGAGGCATTTCGTAGGGGGTCGTGAGCCAATGGTGTTGGTCTTTGGAGATTCAGATTCCTCAGAGTGCGCCCCTTAACAGTGTTGTTGATGCTGAGCCAGGCGCTTGCCCGTGTACTACAATTCAAGACAGCGCGTGTGTGTGTGTGTGTGTACTGTATACTAGTCCTGATCGCACGCAATACTCACGCGCACGCAGTACTGACGCGCACGCACCCAGACGTGTGTGTGTGTGTATATGTGTGTGTATATGTAGATATAGTGTGTGTGCGTGTGAGAAAGAATCAAACACTTGTAAACCCCCAAACTCTGCGGCTTCCAGATGTGCCAGGTACACGTGGCAATCGTCCTGGATCAGTTTTGGGCACTGTACCTTTGCTTGCGTGATGGGCAGTTCAGGTTCCCCTAAAGCCTCCCATGCGCCCTAAAATCGGGGACCAACAGGCCACATAAACATAAAGATCCTATCGCCCGGGTTCTGCGCCCACCATGTTACCGGCTTTAGGAAGGAGAGGCATTGGAGCAAACGAAGAATGCCACAAAAGACGCACTACAAAATCGACTCAGGCCACGTCGTACACTCATTTCAGATGACTGTCACCGCAGTTTACCTGACAGGAGCTTTGCAGCAGTAGCCGAAGAGCTCAACAAGACGCCGCTCGACCCCCAGAACCTGTACAAAAAGGAGATCCGCACACGCAGCTAATTTCATGCGTCAGGAAAGCGATCACCTGGCAAGACTTTGTGTCGGCAAGCCCAGATGCAACAACAACAACAACAACAACAACAACAACAACAACAACAACAACAACAACAACAACAACAACAACCACAACCACAACCACAACCACAACCACAACCACAACCACAACGACAACGACAACGACAACGACAATCAAACAGTGCAAACAGCTGACCTTGCTGCAGCGCATTCTTCCGCCGAACTCCAAGGACTTACTATGGACTACTTGACGACGCGTGAACTTCAAAGAATCTTTCGCTGCCGCTCAGATAAAAGGCGCTCTGACTCTCGAGCTCCTAACATTGTGCTGCAACTCCCACGACCCGACGCATGAAAATTCATTGCTCATCAGCATTTGTGGCCTAGCCCGACTCACCGATATTCAAAGACAGTTTTCCATTTTGACTGCCGTAACGTACTTCTCAGCTACTCTCAACGTCTCACTGCGGTAGCTTTCAGTGCAGAAACAACGAATGTCAGTTGCCAAATATTCTCCAACCGAACCTTGAGAACAGCACGCAAGCCTGCCATGCCGTTGTCTTGTACACATACAAACCTGCATGCGTATCAACACCATCTATGAAGATTGCACGACTGTACACTATACAGTCACCTTAGTTTCGTTCACTGAAACTCGACGCGCAAAACCTCTTCGCAGGCAAGCATGTGTCTGCAATCCTTGGACAATGATCAAAAGCACAGACGCAATCTCATAGGTCCATGGTAAGATGCAACCGAAGTCATGGAGATCTTTTTGACGCAGAGCAGGCGGCACCTCATTATATAACTGATTTCACAGCGGCGGCTGGCGAGGCGGAGGCTGTGAGCTGTCGGACACCGACCGACAGCCGCCCGACCATGCCCACGAGGCCTTGCGGCAGCAGAGACTGTAGAAGTAGCAGGCGCAGCGCGGGGAGCGAGCGGCGGCTAGAAGAGGAGCGGCGACGGCTAGGAGGGGAGTAGCGGCAGCGGCTAGCAGGGGAGTAGCAGCTTTTGGCAAGCTAGGAGGGAGTAGCGGCTTTGGGCGAGCTGAGCTTGTAGAGACTTTGCAGGTGTTGAGCCGTGTGTTTCACATCGTGCATGCGCTGTGTGGGCACTAGGAGCGGAGTAGCGGCTTTGGGCGAGCTGAGATGCTAGTAGAGACTTTGCGCTTTGGGCAAGCTGAGAGCTGAGATGCTAGTAGAGACTTTGCAGGTAGCGGCTTTGGGCGAGCTGAGATTCTAGTAGAGACTTTGCAGTTGAGCCGTCATCGTGCATGCGCTGTGTGCTGTCAACAACATGCATGCTTGCGCGGCAGCCTTGTTTTGCTCGACGCTGCCCGCCTGTTGTCTCTCGCTCTGCCTAACTCAGGACCATGGCCTCTCGTATGGCAACGGCTGTCGTGATGCTGCAGCTGCACCGCTTTGTGCAGCCGCAGAACCTTCGCAAGGGGGCTCCTAGCATACTCCTGCTGGCGATCCTCTTGCGGGCAGCGGCAAAGCTATGCATCTCCCGCCGAAAGAAGGCCGTGCTGGGCGGCGAGGCTCCGTCTCCGCTTGTCGATCAACAAGATGATGCCGCGGAGAAGCCGAAGACCGAGCTACCAGAGTGACATCGGCGAACTTGAGCACCTGGAGGACGAAGAGGCGGAGGCGGGAGCTGTGCTGCTGCAGGCCACGCCTCCGGCCTGTGCGTCATGTGGCATCAATGGCAGTGGCCACAACAGCACTGTGCCTATGCAGTCTCCCTTGAAGGGGGTTAGGGCTTGAATGCTTGAAAAAGAGGTGTAAGGGGTGAATGGATTAGGGTTTTATGGTTTAGGGTTTAGGGTTTGTTTAGGGTCTGTCTTCTGTTGCATGGCCTCTCTTGGTGCTACCCGGTTCACGCATCTTATCGGTGTTACGAGGACTTAGGACTTATAGGACTAAGGGTTTAGGGTTTAGGGTTTGGGGTTTAGGGTGAACTCATCTTTTGGGATGTTCCTTAATAGGGATTATGATAGGGGTACTATAATTCCTATTAAGGACTGTTAGTATGAGGGGGAACATCCCAAGCTAAACTCAACTTACTCCAGGAGGACCCTGCTTGAAGAGGTACATGACGAGCTTTATGAGCAGAAGCCCAGAAAGTCAATCTTTGAACCCGGTTGAGGGTTTAGGGCTTAGGGCTTAGGGTTCAGGGTTTAGGACCCAAACCTTAAACCTTAAACCTTAAACCTTAAGCCCTAATCACCGAAACCCTTAACCTTCTGTGTCTCAGGTCTGGGGAGGTTCCACCTTTGTAACTAAGCTGGGCATCTTCTTCGTCCTCATTGCCGCAGCCCTGGATTCAGACTCAGTTTTGCTTTCAAAACCCCGACCCTAAACCCTAAACCCTAAGCCTCAAACCCTGAACCTTGAACCCTAAACCCTAAACCCTAAACCCTAAAACCTAAACCCTAAACCCTAAACCCTAACCCTTATCCCTAAACCCTAAACCCGTAATCTTGGCGGGGGGTGAGGCTTTTCTCTGCTTTTAACAGTGTTTCGGTTTGGGTTTAGGGTGGGCATTTAGAAGTTTGAGGTTGGACCGTTGCAAGTTCTTTGAGGAAGCGCTGGCACCGCCACCCCTCTCGACATTGTTCTAGGGTTTCGCAAGCATATGGGGGGGGGGTTTCGAAATTAGGGGTACCTTATTGAGGTCCTTATTATAAGGGGATCCTATTAATCGCGTCGGACCCTTGTAACCATGGCAACACGGTATATGCGGTTGAGGGTTTTGTGGGCTTGGTCGTTTTCTAAGGGTAGTTGCCTCCTGTATAAAGGGTTCTGACGAATGGGCCCTGGGGTTTTATGTAAGGAGTATGCAAGGAGAACCCGCTTTTAAGGGCACAAATTAAGGGACCATGTTGCTACCCTAAGACTTCTGTTAGAGTGTAGGGTTCCTCTTCACAAGGGAACTGTTCTGCTTGGAGAGCTCCCCATTGTAACCCTAAACCCCAAACCCCAAACCCCCAACCCCATACCCTAAACCCTAAACCCTACACCCCCACAATCCTATTGCCTCCCAAAAAGTAGGTCTTCTACACGATGGCCTCCTACTACGCCGGCATCATCACCGCGCCTCTGACGGCCGCAGCCACAGAGAGGGTGATGATTCACCCCTACTTAGGTAGTATGTACTTGGGCCTAAAGCGACTTTATAGGATCCCCTGTAAGGCCCAAGTATATACTATGTAGGTACGGGTCACGGGTAGTTATAGCTGGGGCCGGATACCTCAAAACTACCCACGCATCACCTGGAAGAAACGCTCGGGAAACTCAAACTTGAAGCTTTGAGGGCTTAGGGTTTACTTAGGGACATACCAAAACTTTTGCCTAAATCCCCGAGGTTCAGGGGTTTAAGGTTCAGGAGTATGTCAGTACGTGTTCCTGAAGTACCACTATGTTCCTTGCCTGACTCGTTAAGATGGATTTCGGCAGGGGAGGTGATGATTGCATGCTCGCCATCAAACTCAAAAAGCCGAACCCTAACCCTGAACCCTGAACCCTAGTATGGACTTTGGCTTAAGGGTTGGGCTCCTGACGCGTACTCGGCCGGATGTACTGTCGACGGGTTCAGCGTTTAGGCCGCTTTCACTGATCGTCGACTCGGTCGCTTAGCTTGGGCCGACTTTACGTCTTTTGCATAGCCCGAGTTGGATCCCTCACAGTGCCGTCAAACTTATCGCCAAATCCAAATCTTAACGTTTCTAAGCCCCCTAAAACCCCCGAAGCCTCCTGAACCCTCTAACTCCTCTAAACTACCACCCTACCACCCTACCACTCTACTACCCCACTACCCTACCACCCTCTACCACCCTCCCCCTCCTTCTTTCCCCTCCCCCCCCCAACAACAAAAAATAAAAAAACAAATCCAGGAAGCGGCCTTGAACAATCCCTGGGTGACCGGTCTCAGCTGGGATCCCAGCCTCGGTCTTGCAGGGAGTTTAGGGTTTAGGGTTTAGGGTTTAGGGTTTAGGGTTTAGGGTTTAGGGTTTAGGGTTTAGGGTTTAGGGTTTGGGGAAGTTGCAATTCTAAATAAACAAACAAGTTGGCACCCCCGCGCCCTACAGCACTGACCCCCAAAACTCCAAACCCACCAAGGCGGGTGATTTTGGGCTACTAGGTAGGCCCTTGGGAGAATTTATCATGTCCCCCTTTGGGTTTCAGAGAAACATACTTAGGAATATTTTTCAATGGCCATCCTAGGCTACTGTACCCTACGTAGCCCCCCCTCTCCCCCAACCCCGTCTCGCAGCCCCTATAACTCCAATCCCCGGACCACCCTAAACCCTAACCCTAAACCCTAAACGCCAAACCCTAAACCCTAAACCCCAAACCCCAAACCCTAACCATGCAGCCCTGGAAAACCCCGTAAGCTTTAAAACCCTTAAACCCTTGAGCTCCTCTGTGGCGCCAAGGCCACCCTAATCCCCTTTTACCCTAAACCCTAAACCCTAAACTCTCATCCCTAGACCCTAAACCCTAAACCCTAGACCCTAGACCCTAAACCCTAAACCCTAAACCCTAAACCCTAAACCCTAAACCCTAAACCCCAAACCCCAAACCCTAAACCCTAAACCCTAAACCCTAGCGCGCCAAGGCCTGGAGACGTTTAACAACAATTGGTTGCCCCACTACGACTCCAAGACGAACTTCGGCGCCGGGAGCCTCAGAGGAAGTGAGGCTTCAGGGCGTTTAGGGTTTAGGGTTTGGGGTTTAGGGTTTAGGGTTTGTGGTTTAGGGTTTAGGGTTTGGGGTTTAGGGTTTAGGCTTTGGGGTTTGGGGTTTTGGGTTTAGGGAGGGTCGCAAGATTGTTCAGGGCTTCAGGGTGTTAGGATTTGGGATGTTGCGCTCTAAGTTATGGTCCCTTCACTGCACTCCCGTGGAAAAGCACCGGTTTAAGCAGGTGCCAAGAACCCCAAAAGTATACCACCATAGGCAAGCCCAAAGTTGTCCATAGTTTGGAACAACTCCCAGCAACTGCAACAAGCCTGAAACACCGCTTTCAGGAATTTAGGTTTGAGGAGCGCTGTAGCCTTTGACGTGAGGTTTTGGAGCATGTGATTGGCAGGGGATGACGCCTACCGGACTTACGAAAGTAGGATCAAGGGCGTCTGGGCCCATTGTTTGCTGCGTACTATAGGTGCCTCTAGCCACATTATCTCCTCTAGTTGTAGCCAGGGCTTTTTTTCACCTCAAAATGTGAGCGCATCTAGTCATCTAGTCTGTCGAGCTAAGCCCTATGCATCCGAAACCCGCCCCACCCAAAACGCAAGCCATGGGCCATCCCAGGCCAACAAAGTAAACAAACGAACCAACGAACGAACAACCCTAAACCCTGAAGCCTAAACCCTACACCCTAAACCCTAAACGCTGAATCCTAAACCCTAAGCCCTAAACCCCCTAAACCCGCCAGGTGGTGCTCAGCGTCTTCTTCCCTTGCTTCACCGGTATTCTCAGTGGTGCGAACCGCGCCGACATTCTCCAGGAGCCGCTTGGTTTAGGGTTTAGGGTTTAGGGTTAGTTGTTGTTTTTCTAAGGCTTGTTTTCTGGTATAGGCTCTAGGGGTATTTTATATTTTGTCTTATAAGGTTCAAGAGGAGCACAATTCGGAATGTCTTTTGAGAAGGGCTTTGAGGGGCCGGTGAAGTTCAGGGTTTGGGGTTCAGGGATTGGGCTTTTGGGCAACAAGGTTTTTGCGGCTGTGTATACGAATCAGAGTGTTGTCACCCACAGTTTAGGGTACATTTGCAGTTCGGGTCTCACGTTTGTGACTCTAAGAAGGCTTTCGGGTTTACAGGTTTCAGGGGCGGAGAAAGTACCTAAACCTATGCCCATGCTTTCAATCAAAGACAGCCACCTACCCCCAAACCCCCTCAACCCTAAATCCTCGAAGCCCTTAAACGGAGCATGCTTGGAAAGCGCCATGAAGCCTTGCAGGACCCACCGAAGAACATCAAGGACTGTCCAGGCTTCCAGGTGTGCGGCCTTCTGAGCCTTCTGAGCGGGTCTACTTGGAGGTTCATGGTACTTATTATCCAATTATAACTGTACCTATAACCCACTTATAAGCCCCTCAAGTGCCCGAATATGAACCTCCAAGTAGGGTTTGGGGTTTAAGGTTCCTAAAACAGTTTTAGACCTTTTGGGCTTACATCGACGGGTGGCCTTTTTGTGGCGTTTTTTTTTTACAATAAGGATCTAGTATGTTGGGGCTCCATTAGGGGCTTCCTATGGTGAGAAACACTTACACGGGCCGTTCCCTAAAAACCCGCTACCCCAAGGAAGCCTCCGAAGGCTCAGGGTTTCTACCTAAACCCTATAAAAACAGATACCCTAAATCCTAAACCCTAAGCCCAGGCGCGTTAAGGGCTTCTGATTACGCTTAGGCTATGTACAAGGGCCGTCCGTCAGAATGGGCCTTGAAGTTGGGAGTCCTCGTACGTGCCCCGCACATACCCTCTACCCACATACTTCAGAATCCCCCTGGTTCTTAGTAGGGAACCCCCCCCCCAGGTATCCGCCCCCCTGATTGTTCTTGGTAAACCAACCCCAACCCCTAAACTCTAGACCCTAAGCCCTAAAGCTCTAAAGCCCTAAAGCCTAAACCCTAAACCCTGAAGACTAAAGCCCTAAACTCTGAAACCCTACAACCACACCACAGGCAGGGGGGGTCCGGGGCGCAACCATATATACCCCTTAAGGACTGAGGTAGGGTACCTCATTCCTTCAGTCCCTACTAAGAACCTGCCAGGAACCCTCTAAGAAGGCCCTAAACCCTAAACTCTAAACCCTAAACCCTAGACCCTAGACCTAGACCCTACACCCTAAACCCTAAACCCTAAACCCTAAACCCTAACAAGTGACCAAGATCCCCAGAGAGGATGGCACCTTTGGGGCCATCATCTTCAGCTTCTTCATGTACTCGTCGGCAGCCGAGGGGCGTTGTTCGGACTTAGGTCTGAAAGGTCTTCGGGACGTTGGCTGTAGGGCTTAGGGCTTAGAGTTTTTGAGGGTTTAGGGTTTAGGGTTTTTGAGGGTTTTTGAGGGTTTAGGGTTTAGAGTTTAGGGTTTAGAGACAGGATTCAGGGGTAAGGCTTGAGGGTTGAAGCGCTTGGGGGTGGGGGGGGAGTTAGGGGGGGTTAGGGGGGGGTTTGGGGGTGGATTGAAGATGAAAGAAGTTGCCGAACTCGCGGTGGCTTTGCCGGTGACGGTTTAGGGTTTTAGGGCTTCGGGCTTTTGTTTAGGGCTTGGGGTTTCGGGTTTGGGGTTGGGGGTTAGGGTTTGGAGTTTTGGGCTTGTGGTTTAGGGTTTAGGGTTTAGGTTTTGGGTTTGGGGTTTATAGGGTTTGGGGTTTAGGGTTTAGGGTTTAGGGTTTAGGTTTAGGCAAGATTGGCGCAGAGGGGAGGTGGCACGTAAGCCCTTCGCAAGATTCGACCGCGGGCCTTCGCAAAATGAGGAGCCCAGGGCTCTGGTGGCGAAAGTTTCTCTGAACCCTATGGACCCTATAAACCCTATAAACCCTATAAACCCTATAAGGCCTATAAACCCTATAAAAGCCTATAAAGCCCATAAACCCTATAAGCCTTAACATGGAAGCTAACCCCTAAGGAAATGGGAGTATGGGCCTACTCTGGGTCCTATCTACGGGTAAATACATGGGCCCTTCACTTGTGCAGGGTATCTGAGGGGTATATAAGGGGTCCCCTTTTCAGGGCCCATACTAAGGGACCATGAAACTACCCTGGGAGAGTTTCGTTGCTTTGCCCGTCCCCTATACATAGGTAAGGTATCCAGCCTCCCAATTGTAGTGCTGCGTTTTTTTTGGGTGGAACCATACTAAACCATAGCTCCCTAAATCCTAAGCCCTAAAGCCTAAACCCTAACTCTGCCCGAATCAGCCATCCGCGAGAAGGAAGTACAATTGGAGGGTCGAGGTATGCCCACAGCCCCCAAGCAGGCAAAGCTCCACCTAAACCCTAAACCCTAAACCCTAAGCCCTAAACCCTAAACCCTGAACCCTAAACCCTGACCCCCGAGCCGTGAAGACCAGGTCCTTCTTCATTCTTTGGGGATGTGTGGCCGACTACCGCTACCTGCAGGGTAAGGACTGCTGTCGGGCTCTTGCACCCTAAACCCTGAACCCTACAACCCCCACCCGCCCACGCCACAAACATCCAAGCCGTAGTATCCCTGAACCCCAATCCCAAAACTCCCCAAACTCCAATAATCTATTCCTTTCTTTGTTTCGAGGGGCATGCGGGGGTTAGGGTTTTAGGGTTAAGTGCTTCGCTACTTTTTCGTTGGAATTGGGTTTTGGAGTCCCAGGAGTACTATGCTGGTTCACCGCGCCTTGGCTTCAAACCAGATTTCGGGTTTAGGTTTAGGGTTAGGGCTTACAGGGCTTTGCATTAGGGCGTCGCTTCACAAAAGTAGTCAAGAGAGTCCCAGGGATTGGGAGCATCTAGACCCTCCAAGTAGAATAAGGTTGCTTCTGGCCCTGATTTAGGGGATCTTAGAAGAGGTTGCAGGTAGGCCTAAACCCTAAACCCTAAACCCTAAACCCTAAACCCTAAACCCTAAACCCTAAACCCTAAACCCTAAACCCTAAACCCTAAACCCTAAACCCTAAACCTGTAGAGCTTGCAGGCCTTGGGGTTCATGGCTCGGGCCGCAGTCTTGAGATGCTGGGCGCGACTCGCGCCCTGTAAGCCCCTCCAAGTCGAAGCTCTGAATGCCCAGTGTATATGTACAAATGTATTGTACATATGTTTCTGTATATGTATATGTATATGTATATGTATATCTATATGTATATGTATATGTATATGTATATGTAGATGTATATGTATATGTATATGACCCACGCCTACAAGCCCTCAACCCCTCGACCTTGCAGCCGAACGGAAGTCCCAAACCGCCTGAAACCCTAAAGCCTAAAGACTAGACCCGAAACCCTCACCTCTACCTGCGGCCCGAGAGTCCCATAAGCCCTGCGGTTTGCGTTTAGGGTTGAGGGTGTAGGGTTTAGGGTTTAGGGTTTAGGGTTTAGGGTTTAGGGTTTAGACTCCCCAACTCTCCACTCTTAAAAACAAAGCCGGAGCGCCCCCCGCCCCTTCCAAAGAACGTACTGGTATGTACTTGCCTACATAATATACATCTAGAATGGTACCCAAAAAACAACAAGAAAGAAGAGGAAAACACCGCGATCGGACATTTTATCGCGTTGCATTCTGAGGGTGGAGGAGCAAGCCCATATTAACAACAGCAATTCCTACCAGTCAAAATAACCCAACATCAATTAGTTGCTGTTTACATTGAATATGCTTCATGCGTATACTTTGATGATGCATGGATTTCATTACTATCATAACCGTTACTCATTCCAATAATGTTGCAAAAGTGTGGGCGCGAAGCTAAAGTGCTCTTCGGGGTCGGGTTGGTTCCGGGGGGTCAGCGATATATATATATATATATATATATTTTTATTTATGTACATATGTATATGTACATGTGTATATGTACATATGTATAATTACATATGTATATTTACATATGTATATGTACATATGCATATGTACATATGTATATGTACATATGTAGATGTACATATGTATATGTACATCTGTATATGTACATATGTATATGTACATATGTATATGTACAAATGTATTGTACATATGTATATGTATCTGTATATGTATATGTATATGTACAAATACACATGTTTGATGTAGGTATTGCTTTACTTCTTTGCGTATTTGTTGATATGCATGGCGCCTGAGGGACGACGAACCCCACGGCGACGACCACCACCGCCGCCTGGCCGGTGGGGCGGCTGGCGCCCACCTTGTTGAGGACACCGGCCCCAGAGCCTTATTAAGGATCCCTGTATATTCTAAGGGCTATTCCCTAACCCTTAAACCTCATTAAGGATCCCTGTATCTTTTGAGGGCTATTCCTTAACCCTTAAACCTCATTAAGGATCCCTGAATATTTTAAAGGGCTATTCCTTAGGGTTCAGGGTTGTTGGGCGCTCTGAGCCGACCACGAGCTGCTTCGAGGTTACAGTTTACAGGATGCGGGACTTGGGGTGTTTGGAGTTTCAAGGCATAATATAGGCGTCGGAAGAATTACTAGCAGTATTCCCTTATGGCCCCTTCACAATTCTGCTCCATTATATAATGGCCCCCCAAAACCCTGTTAAAATTATTAAGGCCCTTATATTATGTGTTTTGAGGGTTGAGGCTTTGGGGCTTGGGGGGTTTAAGGCTTCACGGTCTAGGATCTTTCGGGCTCTAGTTTTTAGGGCTTCTGGGTCTGCATCTGGTGTAAGGTTTGCAGGGGGAGTTTCTGTTTTTTAGGGTCTGCAGACCTAAAGCCTAAAGCCTAAAGCCTAAACCCTAAACCCTAAACCCTAAACCCTAAACCCTAAACCCTAAACCCTAAACCCTAAACCCTAAACCCTAAACCCTAAAACCTAAACCCTAAACCCTAAACCCTAAACCCTAAACCCTAGACAGACCTTGCCAGGAGATCGTGTGGAATCCCTTCCCGCACTCCGCACAGATCGGCATCATCATCTCGTCGTTGAGCCAGGCGACGGGGTAGCCTGGGTATTTGAGTTCTTTGGTGTACCCTAAACCCTAAACCCTGAACCCTAAACCTCAAATGTTGAGGGTTCCTATCCTCGACTGCCAGTCACCCTGACTACCCCATACTTAAAGTACGGCCCTAACAACATGAATTCAGCCTCAGCCTTATATCTTTAGGGTTTAGGGTGGGGTGTGGGTGGGACGGGTGGCTTCACAAACTTGACCCCCCTTCAGGGAAGGTCTTCGCCACTGATTGAGTTTTGTGGGAACGCAAATTCTGAAACCCTAAGCCCCAGACCCTGAACCCATTATTCTTCTGTTGGAGAAGCAAAGTAGCTTTCATCCCTTCGCCTTTTCAATTCTTCAGCTTTAAAGTAGAGTCCTAAAACCTCCCCCACCCACGCCTCCCCCCCCCCCTCTAAAGCCCCTAAACAGCAAAGACATGCACAAGCAACCATAGACCGTGTGTGGTTTAGGGGTTTCGGGTTAAGAGGCCGGGGAGGTTTGCAATTTATATACTGGGGCAGGCCCACAAGAAAACGATGTACACAAGCATCCATACCATATCAAGCAGCATTAAGCCCTCGACCCCGAAACCCCAAGTATGCTTACTAAGCCACAAGCCTTATTTCAGTAGCAGCGATTTACATAACCATGTATACTACACCGATCAGTAGTTACACGCGTAGACCCGACCCTCAACCCCAGAGCAGTGACCTAAGGCTCCAAATGACCCCAAATGTAGGTATTACGGTATTTTTACTGTGCTACAGCAATACCCTAAGGCTCCAAATGACCCCAATGCAGGTACTGTGGTCTTTCTTACTTTGCTCTTTTGAGTTATTATTTCTAGAATTGGAGCCTCATAGGGATAGCAACGAGAGTCCAAAATGTTTGAGCCGCAAGCCGCCTAAACCCTAAGCCCTAAACCCTAAGCCCTAACCCCTAAACCCTAAACCCTAAACCCTAAGCCCTAAACCCTAAACCCTAAACCCTAAACCCTAAACCGACCAGGCCCTACAGTGCCTCATCGTTGCGCCGCGACTGCTTCAAAACATCGCCAAGGCAAGGGATGGCAACCGGGGCCGGGGTGTTTAGGGTTTAGGGTTTAGGGTTTAAGGTTTAGGGCTCAGGGTTTGGGGCTGTTTTTGGGACATTTTGTATTTTACTTATTTAGTTAATAAGGGACCCTAGAAATATACACATGTATAGAGAGAGATAGATATTGTTAAAGGCCGGTTCGGGGGTGAAGGGTTCGAGGTTTTTGGTGTAGGGTTTGCGGTTTAGGGTTTAAGGGTTCTCAGATCAAGCCTAGGTGCTAAGGTGGGCCCTGCTCCGGAGCGGGCGTCGTAAGACTTCAGTTGGAGAGTGTCCGTGCCGTTGGGAGTAGCATACCTAAACGATGCCCAGACTAGGGTGCCCAAATTTGCAAGAACCCCAAGTCTTGACTGCAACTTAAACACTTTGATTCCATTTCCTTTGCATCTTAAAGCCTTGGTTCCCAACCCTGCAGTGGGGGCCCTGCCATAAAGCCTCTACCAGGGCTTTTAGAGGCTTCGAGTTGAGGAGGCTGTCAGCTGGTGTGGGGGAGGGTTTAGGGTTTAGGGTTTAGGGTTTAGGGATTTGGGAGTTTGGGAGTTTGGCAGTTTGGCAGTGTGGCAGGGGGCGGAAAGGCCCAACCAAAGCCCGACAAAAGATTTTCCGGGCCAAGGAAAGCCGAAGCTCTCGACCTCATCAACTGGGGGGGTGGGGGACTAGGCCCTAAACCCTAGACTCTAGGACAAGATCCTGGGCATTTTCGACCGCATTGCCCCGCTCTCCAAGCACGGCGAGCCGGTGCGAGCAGCTCGTCTGAAAGACGTTTTTTGCTCCTAAACCTTAGCAGCTGAACCCCCAAGCCCAACCCTGAACCCTGAGCTCCCTAAGTCCAGCAAAGCCTAACCCCCACACCCCCGAACCCTAAGCCACCTAATGTAGGGGTCGGGATAAGTACAGATACTTTTCCCGTATGGTCCCTTTGTAAAATACACCATAATACCCCCCCCCCCCCCCCCCCCAAAACCCTGTTCTAATTATTCAGGCACCCTAAACCCTAAACCCTAAACCCTAAACCCCAAACCCTAAAAAGGGATGAGGGACATTTCTGTGAGTCGGTGCGGGCGGGCCTCTCGGACGTTGAGAGGTCGAGAGGGTCCGGTCTCGAAGGCTCCGCTTCCTTCTTTGCAGGGACTTGTGTTGCTTTTTGTCGTTTAGGTGTTTGAGGAGCATGCTGAGTTTAGGGGCTTAGGGTTTAGGGTTTAGGGGTTAGGGGCTAGGGGTTTAGAGTTTAGGGGTTTAGGGGTTTAGGGTTTAGGGTTCAGGGTTTAGGGCTGGCAGCGTAGCTGCATCCTAAAATGGCTGTGGCGTCTAGCGCGTCCTTGTTGAAACCTTGCGGAACATCTTGTCCTGTCAACGTGAGCCCGTGCTCTACGCTGACGTGTTCAGGGCTTCAGGTCTAGAGGTTTCACCAGGCCCTGAGCAAAATCCCATGCAAAACCCAGGCAACCCCCTAAATCGCTAAATCGCCATTAGCTAGGGCTTTGAGATACCTTATCTTGTCCCAAGCCCTGAGCCCTAAACCCTTGTTCATGGAAAGAGCATCGTAGTTCACAGTTTTTCAGAGGCTTGACAGCGCCATCATCCCTAGACCCTGAACCTCAAAAACCCTACATCCTAACCCTAAGCCTCAAAACCCTAAACCCCTAACACTCTAAGACCAAAATTCCTAAACCCTAAATCCTAAATCCCTAAACTCTAAATCCCTAAGCCCTAACCCCAGAAGGACCCTAAGGGTTCAGGGTTCAGTCCTTTGTGGTGCTTTTCTGTAATTTCAGATCCTTAGCCTGTTTGGTTTTATTGGGTTTCTTGATCAGGCAGCTAAAAGTTTCATTTTTTAACTGCCCTCCTATGTGCAGCCCTAAACCCTAAACCCTAAACCCTCAATCCCTAAATCCCAACACCAGGCCCTTGCTTGCACCTACGTCTTCGGAGCCCTCTTGGTCCTGATCGGAGAGGTGGAGAGTTCAGGGTTGAAGACCGGTTCACAAATAGCTGCTAACTTTCACGCTCACTGCATGCTAGACACCTGCAAGTTTTCAGCATCTGTGAGTAGGGTGTCGTTGCTTAGCACGAGGCGTGAGCAAGGACTGCAACATCCAGCGGGTTTATCCCCGAACAGCTTAGTCGTACCCAGGGGTCTTGGAGGTTGTGTCCCTTGAGCTCGCAAGTTTGCGGGGTTTTGAGTATCGTGCTTCATGAACCCCCTCCCCCCACCTCCCCCTCCCCCCATCCCCCTCCCCCCCTCCCCCCCCCACCCCTCCCCCCCCATCCCCCTCCCTCCCCCCCCCCCCCCTCCCCCCTCCCCCCCCTCCCATCCCCTCCCCCCCCCGCCCCCCCTCCCCCACCTCCCTCCCCCCTAGCAAACCAGCCCTCTTGCCAGGTCAATGCCGTGGCGCCGTTACTGACTATGCGCCTCACCGACATTCATCTTGGCATTCATTGGGTCAGAGTTGAGGGATCAGGGCGTGTTCAGGGTTTAGGGTTTAGGGTTTAGGGTCTTCAACTGGTGTTCGTTTCAGGGCTTCAGTGTTTCAAAGGTTCATTCGCGTTTAGGCATCGGGTGTCAACCAGGCTATGCAAACATGCTACCTGTTAGGAGCAGTTAGGAGCATAAGCTGTGGAAGCCAGGGGGCGCAATTAAATTAGGGAGGTCCTAAAGCGCTAGGCCCTAAACCCCAACCCCAACCCCTAGGGAGAGGAGGTTCATGGTTCGGAAGAAGGTTGCAAGCCCGAAGCCCTACTTGCCTTCCTACACCCTAAACCCAGGACCCGTTTTCCTCAACCCCCTGAAGCCTAAGGCCTAAACCCCAAACCTTTGGAGCAGGGCAGCTTGGGGAGTACTTAAAAAGGGCAGAGCTTGTCTACCTTCCAAAGGCCAAGGCTTTCGGGTTCCAGGGTGATCAAGTCATACCAGAAAACGCCTACCGAAGCCACAAACCCTAAACCCCAAACCCCAAACCCTAAACCCTAAACCCTTTGGGCAATGGGGCTTCAGAAAGGTTTTGGAGAAACTCCCGGCTCAACTGAATATTTGCCTTCCTTTTCTGTTAGAGCTGTATGCTGAGAATATGCTCAACGAAAAAAAAACAGGCATGTGGGGTTTAGGTCTAGGTTTTAGGCTCTGGGTTGGAAGTCGATCCCTGAGCCCTAAGCCCAACACCCTACACCCTACACCCTAAACGCTATTCTTAACCCTAACTTACGAACCCTAAACCATAATATATAGGCCTTGGTAATTAGGATATGGACTTGGGGGCTATTATTGTTATTATAGTATACTTATAAAGGGGCCATAAGGGAAAACCATTAGCAATTATTCCGAGCCCGGTATGACACCGAAGTCCCTGCAGGTGCTTCCTGGTGGCCTACACCTTTATGAACTTCTCCTGCTTCGTGCTCACCTGGGTGCGATCGCCTGGCTTCCGCCCGGCAGGCGCCCCAACAGCCCTCCCCGTTGACGACTATGGGGTTCCAGTGTGTGCGTGTGGCGCAACCCCTCAACCCCTCAACCCCCCAACCCCTCAACCCCTAAACCCCTAAACCCCAAACCCCTAAGTCCCCAAAGCCTTCAACACCCCGGCCCTGAGCCGAACTTGAGAACCCGAATCTGGAGCCTCGGCTAGGGTCGAGACCTGTGCTGTGTTTTTGTTGTGGTTCTTAGTAGTAGAGTAAATATCCTTTAACCTTTTTGGGGCATTTTAATTCCTACATAATCCCCCAAGGTTCACCTTCAGTTTTTCCTAAGCGTTTGGTTCAGGGGCTACGGTCGCTCCGAAGCTTGTCGTTAGGATCGAAGGGGCCTAAGAAAGTTGAAGCCCTACCCCAACAACCCTACGAAAGAATCCAAAGCCCATGACCACACCAAGTCCGGCCTAATCTTCTGAGCCGTGATGCGCGGGGAGGGGAGTACCCCTGAAGTACTCAAAAATGCGATAATTCTCTTTTTGGAACCCCCAAAAACGGTACCTCTGTTCGGACTGTCGCAAAGCCCTGCATGTAGGACCATGGCTTCGTGCACTTGAAGCCTCACATATGAGCACCTAAGATGAGGGTTGGGTTTGGGCTTTACCCCAAAACCCCCTCAAGACCTGAACCGCTAAATGCCTTAATCCACGAAGACCCTTAGAGCCCTTAACAACCCTTACCACCCAAGTAATCTGACCCTAAGCCCTTAGAACCTTGAATCTCTAAACCCTTGTAAGCTAGACTCCCTTGGAAGGAATGTCGCGCAAGCGCTGGCGGTGCTGGTACATGTTCACCGGCCTCCTGGGTACTTCGTCTCCCGTTGCTCATGTTTTAGGGCTTCGCTTCTTTTTGAGACCCATTTGGCAGTGAAATGGTAGCCTGTCAATTCCTTGGTAGCTGGGGAACCTAGGAAACAGACCTTAAACCCTGAACCCTAACCCTCAACCCTCAACCCTCAACCCTCAACCCTCAACCCTCAACCCTAAACCCTAAACCCTAAACCCTAAACCCTAAACCCTAAACCCTAAACCCTAAACCCTAAACAGACAGCCCCTTGCTCTCCAAACTCAACCAAGGCTCGGTCGTGTGTCTTTCCATCATGGTCCTCGTCAGCCAGTATTGGGCGGTGGGCGTGCTGTTCGTGAGCTTCTGCTGCTCAGCTTCTCCGGGTTTTAGGGTTCAGGGTTCAGGGTTTAGGGTTTAGGGTTTAGGGTTTAGGGTTTTGCTCAGCTTCTCAGGGTTGAGGGGCGTCATGTCATGAGATTCAGGAGTCAGTTCTAGTGTACTCGAAGCATTGAAGAGTTGCCCTAAACCCTAAACCCCTAAGCCCCTCAAGCAAACTATAGGGACCCCTCCACACCCCAGACTCCCCAGACCCTAACTGCAAACCTTAGAGCCCTCGGCTGGGGTCACGCTGCACACTTTCTTGGCATTCTTTGAAGGGAGGCCCAAAATGCACGGAAGCCATTGGGTGTGTAGGGCCTTGGGACCCTAGCTAACCACTTGAAATAGAGCTGAGACCCTAAAGCTGTAAAGTCCGCACAACCTTCTACCCTGAAGCCCGAAAACCCGGCTTATCGTTTACGGTGTAGGGTTTAAGGTTTAGGGTTTAGGGCACACTAAGGAGACGTCGGGATGGCCCTTAGTTTCTTTGGTGTTCAGGAGATGTCGATTTCTGCCTACAGGGCTCAGGGGGCCGTCGATCTAGGGTTTTTCTTAGGGCACTTGCATGGTCCCTTTGGATTGTCCCTTACCTTCTGTGAAGGGTTCTGAAGTATGGGCCCTTTGGTTGTATAAGGTATGTAAGGGGCAGGGGTCCCTTTCCAAGGGCCCATTTTAAGGGACCGATTTTGGGGGGGCCGGGGTTTGGGGTTTGGGGCAAGCGTTGCAGGCTTTGGGGATTGTTTGTGAAGGATTAGCACATTGTGGGGGAGGGGGGGTTGGGCTTAGGGCTTACGAAAAGCAGAAGCTAAACCCTAAACCCTAAACCCTGGAAAGGCCTCTACCTCTACATCAACTGGCGCCTGGAGCAGCGAGCGCCATGGCCAGCCTCGGAGTCCGGAACATGCGGCCCTCAAGTTAGGGGTTTAGGGTCTAGGGTTTAGGGGTTAGGGGTTTAGGGGTTTAGGGGTTTAGGGGTTTAGGGGTTTAGGGGTTTAGGGTTTAGGGTTTTTTTAGGGGGTTTTAGGGGGTTTTAGGGGTTTAGGGTTTTAGGGTTTAGGGTTTTAGGGTTTTAGGGTTTTAGGGTTTAGGGTTAGGGTTTTAGGTTTTACGGTTTTACGGTTTTGCGGTTTTGCGGTTTTAGGGTTTAGGGTTCAGGGTTTTAGGGTTTAGGGTTTAGGGTTTAGGGTTTAGGGTTTTAGGGTTTTAGGGTTTTAGGGTTTTAGGGTTTTAGGGTTTTAGGGTTTTAGGGTTTTAGGGTTTTAGGGTTTTAGGGTTTTAGGGTTTTAGGGTTTTAGGGTCTTAGGGTTTTAGGGTTTTAGGGTTTTAGGGTTTTAGGGTTTTAGGGTTTTAGGGTTTTAGGGTTTTAGGGTTTGTTTTATGGGTTTAGGGTTTTAGGGTTTTAGGGTTTAGGGTTTAGGGTTTAGGGTTTTAGGGTATCAGGGTTTTGGGTTTTAGGGGTTTTAGGGGTTTTAGGGTTTTTAGGAATTTAGGTTTCAGGGTTTCGGGCCTCACGCCTGAACGCCTAAAGCCCCACCCGAACTCCCTGGAACCCTAAAGTCGTAAGACCCTAACCATTAAGACCGAAGCCTCACGCTCTCTAAACCCTAAATCCTACACCCTGATTCCTCAACCCTGAAACCCTGACTAAAGCGCTGAACCCGAAGCCTGTAAATCCCTCCAGTCTTAAACCCCAAGCCCTTGAAGCTTGAAACCCCGAAGCCCCTAAGGAGTGGGGAAGTGCCTTGGATGGCATTCGCTTCCAGCTGGCCCTCAACTCGCTGATCCAGCTGGAGGCCGGAAGCTTAGGGTTTAGGGTTTGGGGTTTGGGGTTTAGGGTTTGGGGTTTAGGGTTGAGGGTTTGGGATTTAGGGTTTACAGATTCAGGGAGGGATTTTTTAGACGTGCGCTTCACGGCGCCTCCATTTCTGGTGGGACCTCGCGGTGCCGGCTCCTTCGTCGCTGCCGCTCATCCTGAAGGCTTCTGCCGCGGGTCGACCGAGGTGGAAATCTACTTGCGCATTGTAGGGGTGCCCCATCTCTGGGAGACCCTCGCCGGGCATGGCTTCGACACAATGAGTGCGCTGGAGGAGGAGGATCTGGTTACTGTGAACATCCGCGGCGGTGACATGAAGAGACTGTTGGAAGGGATTTGGGAGTCGAATTGAAGGGGGCTTCCGATATTAGGGTTGAGGGTTTAGGGTTTAGGCAAAGGGTTTAGGGTTTCCGAAATTAGGGGTACCTTGTTGGGGTCCTTCTTCTAGGGTACCCCAAACAGGGGACCCCAAGAAAGGAGTAGGAATAGAATAGGAATTTACCTACCAGGGCCCTGATGTTCCCTTTATATACCTATCATATTCTTGGGGTTCCCTGTTTGGGGTTCCCATCATGGGACCCTGTTGCTGAAGGAGCGTGGACATGCGGCCGTGAATTGGCAGCCCCAAGTGCTGATCCTCTACCGGATCCACCTCTCAGAGGACTCCCGATGCTGCGCAGGGCTTGGAAGGTTTTCGGGGAGAAACACGTCGGGTTGAGTTAGAAGTAGGGTGACATGACTTATGCACCCCAAACCCTAAACCCTAAACCCTAAACCTTTTCTCGCACAAGCCTGGGCTCACAGTGATCGCGGGCACTGTAATTATGCCGAGTTTTCCAAGTTTAGGGTTTAGGGTTTAGGGTTTAGGGTTTAGGGTTTACAGGCAACCAACCCCAAAAAGGGTGCCCGTATTGTAATATGGTTACTGGACTACCAACAAGAACCCACATTATAGCAACCGCCGCAATGACGTGGATATGGCGGACGTAGTACACGATGTGGCTTCCTTGTTGCGTTAACTTCATTCAATTTAACTTCCTAACCTACCGCCCCTGTAGGCCAACCATAAGCCTCAAACCCCAGACCCCAGACCCTAAACCCTAAACCCTAAACCCTAAACCCTAAGCCCTAAACCCTAAACCCTAAACCCTAAACCCTAAACCCTAAACCCTACAGGAGCTGAAGGGCATCAAGCACCACGAGATCCTTCGGCGACTGGGCACATTTTGGGTTTGGCCTCACCTTGATGTTTAGGGTTTAGGGTTTAGGGTTTAGGGTTTAGGGTTTAGGGTTTAGGGTTTTGGGTTTACAGTGCACTCCAAAAAGTTGGAACATCCTCATCCCATACCCCAAAAGGTATACTTAAGGGAATCCCAGCTTCAGTCATCCTGAAACCATGTTCCAACTTTCTGGACTTTTCTGTAGGGTTTATGAGTTCGGGTTTAGGGTTAGGGGTTTCAGGGTTTCTGGGTTTCAGGGTTTTTTGGGTTGTAGTATACCCTGGAGCCATAAGCCCCCACCAAAGCCCCCGAGCTTCTTTGCCACCCAGGGTCCTTGTCTATTCAACCTAATATAGGGGCCGGAATAAGTACGAATAGTTTTCCGTTAGGGTCCCTGTATAACTATGCTAGAATGCCCCTCCCCCCCCCCCCCCCCCCCCCCCCAAAAAAAAAAAAAAGAAGAAAGAAACAACTTAATTATCAAGGCCCATATTTTAGACCGCCAACGTGGCCCAGGTTTTATTCACGCCTGAAAGAAGGGGAGTTACTATAATACCCCCAAACCCTAAACCCTACACCCTAAACCCTAAACCCTAAACCCTAAACCCTAAGCCCCAGGTTTTATTCCCACCTGAAGAAGGGGAATGGCTTCGCTGTGGTGGCCTGCGTGCTGGAGTCTAAGCCTTCCGGCAACAAAGAGGGTTTAGGGTTTAGGGTTTAGGGTTTAGGGTTTAGGGTTTAGGGTTTAGGGTTTAGGGTTTAGGGTTTAAGGTTTAGGACTAGCAAAAGAGGGTTAGGGCTCAACACGTAGTAAGTTGAAGTTTAGGGGCGTAGGGTTTAAGGTTTAGGGTCTTGTGGCTTGGGTGTTCATACGGAGGGGCGCTATGCAGTGGGTTCTAAAGTTTGCAAAGAACACTTAGTTGGGGGGTTCAGGGTTCAGGATTTAGGCTGCAAATGAGGGGGTTTGGGGGCGGTTGGGCTTTATGTGGGGGCCTCGGGGCTTACCCGAAGGCTCCAAGGCAGTTCCTTTTTGGGGTTAAGCTATAGGGGCTTGTAGTATGCGACACAAAAAAGGTACCACCTTAGGAGCCTGCAGGTAGGGCAACCCTAAACCCTTAACCCTAGGCCCTTAAGACTTGGACCCCGCTGCGCTGGAGTCAAGGGTTTAGGGTTCAGGGCTTTGGGTTGGGATGTTCCCCCTTCTACTACCAGTCCTTAGTGGGGGATTATCATAGAGGGTGCTATGATCCCTATTCAGGACTGTTACTATAAGGGGAACATCCCGAGCTGTGGGTTTAGAGGGTATGTTGGGGCTCCGTGAGCGTCGTTGCCCTGTTGGCTTCAGGCAGTTCCTGACAGGAGCAAATCTTTGTAAAGTTTCGTCGGGCCAAAGCGAGTTTATAGGATCAGCCTGAGTCTCAGACGTCACTCCCATTATGGAACTGTTCGCCCCGATTCCGCATTTTTTGGGCTTGGTGGGGGCGGGGAGAGCACATGAACGGAGCATACCAGCAGGGTTCAAGCGGTTTAGGGTTTAGTGTGAGCGGGAGAACAACCCTAAACCCCAAGCCGCAACTCAACACCATGTCCTGGCGAGCTTGTGTGCTGTGGGCTGGTGAAGAAGAGAGCCTTTGAGGGGGCCCTTGGATAGCGGAGTAGGGTTTGGGGTTTAGGGTTTGGGGTTTAGGGTTTAGGGTTTAAGGTTTAGCCTGCAGAGGACCCGAGATGAGCATGCGCTGCACAAAGCCGGCATCGAGAAGGATGTGATCAAGAGCCTCCTGGCTCCCACACTCCAGTCTGCAATGCTACAGACCTTAACTATATCCCCCTTGGGGGGGGGGGGGGGTGTTTATATTTGTTCATATAAACCCAAGGAGGATATTATTTTTTTAAACATGAAGGTTCTAAGGGGAGTATGGTAATATAGTAACTCTCAAGGGACTACAGGAGGGACCCTTATAAGGGACCTTAGGGTTATTAGAGGGCTACTCCGGTACACAAAATATTCAAGCCTAAATCATCAGAGCCTAAACCGCGAACACCCGCGACTTCACACGATGTACTCACTTTGTTTCATCGGGAGGTGCTGGACACTTCACCCCGACACCCGAAACCTCCCCGAACCTCCGGGCCCTCACTGTCGACATCCCTCCATGCCATGTAGTACCCTCATCCCAATCTTACTTAAAGCCCCTACTCAGCCCAGGTGTGAATCTTCTTGAGGCAATGGATGATCTACCTTGCACCCTAAGAACCCCATCCAAACTCGCACTCGGAACTCGAAACAAATAGGTAGGTGGGACATTGTCTACTTTCCCTTACTGGGTCTAAGAGGATCATATTCGAAAAAGTATTTTTCACAGGGTTTCAGAGGGTTTTAAGGGCCATCCTAGGCAAGCACGCAAGCCGAGGCATCATGAAGGAGGAAGGGATCCAGGGCTTTGCCGAGTGCGTCGTTGCCCCTTCCTGGTCAGAGGGCGTGTGCCCTGGCTGCCCGTTGTTCCCGAAGTAGCGTTTGGGCTCGGATTATACGAACAGACCCCTAAACCCTGAACCCTAAACCCTTAGTGTAAGGGAAAACATCCCAATGTTTGGGGGGTTAAGGCTTGTGGGTGGCAGGTTATGAATAAACTGACCCGGTCAAAACAATGAAAGTCGCAGGACATCCACTTTGGGGCGAAGGGATTAGGATGTCAATGTGGCCCCCTAAACCCTGAACGCCAGGCGGTGTCAGCCCTACTAACTAGGCTTGTGGGGCTACGGTTGACCCTAAGCCCATGGTTTAGGCTTAGGGCGATGAGACCCTACTCCTTAGGGTTTCGGGTTTAGGGTTGTGTTTGGGGCAATTAAACTCTGAACCCAAACGCAGACGCCGTCATTGGTTTCGAATCCCGCCATTCGGAATCCGCACCCCATACCTCAAACTCGGGTTCAACCCAGACTATGACTGAAACAACTAGCACCCTAAGCCCTCGAGGGCTTATATAGGATGAAGGACCCTAAACCCTACAAACAACCCTTTACCCGGACACGGAGCTCCAGGAACTACATCATCCAGCTCAGTGGGATTGGAGGACCCAAGCCCGATGGCCTTGACACCCAAAACGCTCGTAACAACGGAGCCCTGAAAATGCAACAAAAACAACCACGCAACCATGAAGCTCTCGAAGCCCTCGACTCCTCCCCCCCAAAAGGAAATCAAAAAACACAACAAATAAGCAATGAAAATAATCCCGGAAGCCCTGACAATTTCAAACCTCTCACACAAACACACCGCACAAATACAAAAGGAAATCATAAGAATGTGTGAGCCCAAACCCTAACAAATCTAAACCTTTACACCCCCCCCCCCCCCCCCCCAAAAAAAAAAAGACTCTCTCTCTCTCTCTCTCTATGCATATATATATATATGTACATATATAAATAAACGATAACAATAATACTAATAGAATTTACATATATACATATATATATATATAACGATAACAAGAATACTAGTAGATGAAATCAAAAAACGAAGCTCTGATCCCGAAAAACACAAACCAATAACCTGAAAGCCGCGGCTGCGCAACCCGAGAAAGCGTTATGCCCTAAACTCCGAAACTCTAAGCCCTACACGACACACAAAACTCATCTAAACTCTAAGCTCTAAACGTTCAACTCTAAACCCTAAACTCTAATCTTCAACTCTAAACCCTAAACTTCAAACTTCGAGCTCCAAACCTTGAACCCTAAATTCCGGAGCTCCGAAACTCCAAACCCTAAAGCCTAAACCCTAAGCCCTGAACTCAAGCTCGGAATGATGGGACTCGGGGTTGCTTCGAACCTGGAGGTCCATAGGTAGCTAGAGCTGAGAAGCTGGGGATAAGGGTTTAGGGTTTAGGGTAAAGGGTAAAGGGTTTCGGGTAGGAAACTCCAATCTCTGAAATCTACAAACCCTACACCCCACATTTCCTGAACCCCACCAGTGGGAAGGACTTTCGCCCAACACCGTCCTTCTGGACTGGCCGATGAAGTGGAAGAGCAACCCCAAGAAGGCCCATGTACATAGGTGGTTGTCAAAATTATGGTCCCTTTTTGGACCCCGATTATGATACGGCACCTAATACTTAGGGTACCCCAAAAGGGACCATAATGTTGACAGCCACCCACATATTTGTTTATTGGGTCTACGGTTTATAGTTTATAGAGGTTTGTAGGGTTTACGGGGTTTATACGGTCTAGGGTTTAGGGTTTAGGGTTTAGGGTTTGGCCCTAAACCCCTAAAGCCTGCGCCTCAAACAAAGACAGGTCGTTTTACTTTGGTTAGACAGCCTTTTCAACCCTTTCCGGTTGACCCTGGACCAACCCAAGACCTGTGAGGACTATGAACCCTGTAAGCCCTCCTAATGATATGAAAACCTTCTAAGCCCTAATTTCAAGCCCTGCAAATCATGCAACAACTCCATAAACCCCATAAACCCGAACTTGCTAACCTAGACCCTAAATCCTAATGAACCCTAAACCCTAAACCCCTTAGCCCCCAAAACCCCGAGTTACTTATCCCACCTCAGGCCATGGAGTTTGTCAACGTCCTCTCCGTGGCCTTGGCGGCCGAGAAGTCGGTGTTAGCAGTGAAGGGCATGGAGGCGCAAGCCGAGTTGCTTAGGGTTTATGGTTAAGGTTTAGGGGTTGAGGGTTTTTTGGGAGTTGAGTTTGTTTTTGTTTTTCATTGAGGGTTTTTCAACTGGTTTAGGGTTTGGGGGTTGGGGGGAGGGGCGGGGGGGGGGGGGTGGAAGAGTTCAGGGACTGCAGCTGTATTTTTAGGGCTTGAGGGTTTTTGCGCTGATACGTTGGGTTTCCACCCCCCCGCCCCCCCGCCCCCCCGCGGCACAGATGTAAAACGCCCGAAAGTGGTTGTGTCCAGTTATCATCATAGCTAGCCTACCCATGACCCCAGCTTATCATAAGCAGCTATAATGACTGTCAGGGAGCTCTCCTTAGCTGCTGAGTGAGTACACTTTACACTTTTGGGAGACTATAATCCCCTATAGAACTGAAAGTGTACACTTTTTTTGGGCTTATGAACTCAGCAACTAAGTTTCAAGTAGGGCTTCAGGTGCACTCTTTCAGCCCACCAAAGCTTCCAAGCCAACAGGACATGCCCCTCAGTGCCGTGGTCGGCACCATTGATGTCTGGTGGATGATCCACGCTACTTGTCTCAAGTTTGGCCGTCCCTAAACCCTTAACCCTTAACCCTAAACTCTGCTGATTAAGCCCAAAATCGTACAACCATGCGGCCCCTTATGGCACCCTTTGAAACGTTTCTTCAGGTTGTAAGGCCAATACGTACCCTTCGAGTGAGGACCGTAATTCATATGACGTTCCCTACATGCATGGAGCACTCTCCGGGGACCAGCGTTTAGGGTTTGGGATTTTGCCAGGCGGGCTTCAGATCTCCAGGACCCAGAGTTTTTATGGTTTAAGTTCGCTTACTTACCCCTTTGAACCAAAGAGGGTACCCGTGTTATTCCTAGGTTACTTCCGGGTCTAGTTATGCTTAGCGGGGATCTGGCTCCAAAGCCCCATGTATCCCAAACCCCTCAGCCCATAATCATAAACCCCCAAACCCCCAGACCCCAACGCGTTGTGCACCCTAAACCCTTAAACCCCACAACCCCTAAACCCCCTACATCCCTGTAGCCCCCTTAGAAATGATTTTCGTATTCTTATTTTCATGAAAAAAACTCAGGGAATATTTAACATCAATTGTTTTTGTTGAGTTTCTAACGGGAGTATAGACCCAAGCGAATCAAGGATGGCGGCTTTATGATCCTGCTGAGCTGGCTCTTGCTGCAGCGGCCTGGCTAGGGCCCTTTATCCTTTATTTTGGTGGGTTTAGGGTTGAGGGTGTAGGGTGTAGGGTTTAGGGTTTAGGGTTTAGCAGCCTGGCCAGGGCCCAGACTAGGCCCTGTTTTTTGTCATTTTGTTAGGGTTTGGGCTCAAAGGATTGGGGTTTCGGGCTTCGGCGTAGATTTTTGCTATCGTCTCGGGCAGGGTTTTCGGGTGTGGGGTTTACATGTAGGTTTTTGGCCGGGTCTGCGTTTTTAGGGTCGTGGAGGTTGGCAATGTCTGGAGTCGCCCTAGAGCCGTACAGGCTCTTGGACTTGTGGTATGACCTAAGCCTGGAACCAAAAGCAGTAAACCCTAGGCCCTAAACCCATGCTCAACCATTTTCTTTTGGTTGTCTAAGGTCTAGGGTTTAGGGTTCTAAGGATTGGGGCAGTTCTGATTGAGCTCGTTTGGGAAGTGCGATCATCAGTGGGGCAATTCGAAGTAAATAGAACTGGATAGAAGCGGATAGAACTCTATGTTTGTTTTTTGTTAATGCCTACTTGGATGTGCCTATGAAGCTTCAAGTCACATTCCGAAACCAAATCATTCCTAGAACATCATGAATCCTATGAGGTCTTCAGAGTATTAGTAGCAACCTACAAAGCAGGTTTGAGCTTTTCAAGGTAGAGTTACCCCCGACCCTAAATTGCTTTGCGGTCAAGCACAGACGAGGGGGTTGTTGTTGCGAGTTCGGAGTGCCTGAGGAGTGCCATCGCAGAAAGTTGGGGAGGAGGGAAGGGTGATCTAATTTATGCTGATTTATGGGCCCTTTGCGCGTCCAGACAGGGCCAAGGCATCTGCTCAACCCCCCATCGGTTCATGGTTTGTTGCGGTTAAGGGTGCCGTGGAGGGTAGGGGATTCGCCACCTCAGCCCTAAATCCATGATGTTCCTCTAAGATGCTCGAGGTTCGCTGTCGGCGGGTTGTTGTTCTGGGAATAGTACGAGTTGCAGGTTGGTTGGCAAATACATGTATTTATGCTCAAGACCATACCGCCAGCTTGCATGGAGCCCCCTTCTTGGCTAGTGTAGCTTCCAACCTTGAACCCGAAACCCTATTCCACCACCTAACTATGAGTCGTGTAAACTCAAACACCTCGGAATCATGAGCCAGGAAATTAGACGGGCGGGAGAACGCACCATAAGCCCCAACATGAATACTATTACAAACTAGTGCGTGAATGGTATAAAAGTTGTCTGGGCGTTTATTGCGTGCGTCTCACAACCTTATTGAACTACCGTGTTGTCCGGGCCTTAATGGATAGAATGTTAATCCTGATCAGGGTATATGGCAAGCCAGGAGTCAAAAGCCCTGCAGGGTTCATTTGGGTTTAGGGTTTAGGGTTTAGGGTTTAGGGTTTATTTAGGGAGTTCAGCGAATATGATCCCAACTTCTGGCTCATATACCCTAATCAGGCTTACACGAGTTTAGTGTAGATGATCCCAACTTCTGGCTCATATCCCCTGATCAGGATTATAGTAGTTTAGGGTATCTGACCCAAGTTTCAGGGGGTTCATTTGGTCCACAACAAAGTCGCGTCCTAAACAAAAAAAACCTTAAACCCCAATCTCCAGGCACCGAGTTTGGCGGCAGTGCCACATCCGGATCTTCACCATCACTGAGGTGCTTGCGAAGCG